ATTTTTATAGAAAGCTTTTCACTTTATAAGTACACCATGAGTTACCAAGATACCTCAGACTTCTGAGGTAAACAAAAGGGCCCTGGGTAGGGGTGTGTAGAACCACTTGCTCCCTGTGGCCCCGCACGGGCCCCCATCACAGGTCTGTGGGGGGCAGCAAGGCCTCTTCTGTGGGTGAGACTTGTGGCATCCTGCTCCTTCACAGGGAGTTCCCATGGGAGACCCCTGCACCTCAGGGACTGGGCGGAGGCAGGCAGGCTCTCAGGTGGACAAGCCGAGCTCACCAGCCAGCGGGAGCCCGGAACCTTTCTTAAATACTAAGGCACAGCCGTCCCAGCCCCCAGGGTGTGGGCCTGGCAGAAAGGGGAGTGTAGCAGGCGAAGTAGACATCCTGTGAGCGAGTGCAGGCCAGAAAACACCCCTGAAAGCCTCCAGCTGAGCAGGCCTGCTTCGACATCAGACAGGGTGCGATACTGTGTGCTGATACTGGGTGCTCACTGCACCAATGGAAGTTACCTTAAACTTTCATTCCCCGCAGGACCAAGGCCAGTGCTGCGGTCCACCATCCGAGGCTCTGAGATGCGCACGCTGAGGACAGTGAGTACTGTCATTTCCAACACTGAGCCCCTGCCGCATGCCAGACACCTCAGTCTTGACGAAGCTCCAAACGTCTGAGAAAGGAGCAATCGACCCCTGCATAGGGATGGAGAAGCTGAGGCTTGGAAAGGCTAAGCTGCAGGGCCAGCAGCTGCTGGACACGGTGATCGGCAGCTCAGCCAGGAACCTGCCAGGGACATGGAGGAAGGGAAGGACTGGTGGTCACCTGCTCTGAGAGAGTCCGATCAGGAGACCTTTCAGCACGGGCCAGCGCTCCAGCAGGCACCCCAGCCCTACCCACGGGAGGCCGTCACTCTGGCCCTGGTACTGCAGAACGTGTTGGAGGACTCAGAATGTGGGCGAGGTAGATCCAGTGTCCAAATGCTTGTGCGGACGAAGCCAAATGATGAGGAAAAGCTGGGCCAAGTCACCGTGGAGCGCGCACAGATGGCGAGTCAGCGCTGGGCCAGCAAAGAGGCTGGGCTGCCTGATGAGGCCCTGTCTCACACCCCTTCCTGGGGCTTCCCTCCTCCTAAGGGCCTGCCTTCATACAGTGGGATCCCTCCCCCTTCCTGGGGGGTTCTCCCTCCAGATCAGACAAAGGCTCCGTTTTCCATCTTTTCCAGGGACCTGCTGGGGCCACAGCCTCCTTTACTCAACCAGAAAGAACAGTTCACACAGAACATTGTGGCAGTGCCATCAAGGAGGGATAGGGCATCAGCAGGGAGGCTGAAGAGGGTCAGCAGCTGGGAATAGGCCCTCGGGTGCATGGTAGTGAGGCCCTGTCCTGAGCCTGGAGGGCTGAACTCACATAGCCATCAGGGCTTCGGGGAGAGCACGTGGCAGGAGTGCCCCCGGGGCTGGCCGCCCTCCTGGCTGGAGCCTGCCCCCTTTGTCACGGCCACGCGCAATCACTCGATGTGCCCGTGAATGTTCACGTTCATTCCTATGGAGGGGGCAGCTGCGAGTGGACACACAGGAAACCCTCCACCCAAGGTCGGGCACCCCTGGGGGCAAAGGGTTCCGCATCACAAGTCACTGCTTCCCCTCAGGACCACGTGGCCCACTCTCAGCTTCAATATGAACACAACGTGCTGTTGGCACCATGCCGAGGGGACCCACACCCGATGCTGTGGGGACCCAGGAGGTACACCCCTGCCCCCAGACCACAGCAGCCTCACCCAACATCGCCCTACAGCAGCGTCGACTGCCAGGAGTCAGTGACCACAAGGACAAGCTGGTGTGCTTTGTCTTTTTATTTTTATTTATTGGCCCTACCAGTACGACCCTTTACCCAGGCCCCGTTCCTATGCACAAGGACGACGCTCAGGCGTCTGAGTCTCGGAAATTTCTTCTTCCTATGGTTACACAACGCTCACATTCGTTTTCTCCGAATTGAAGGCATCTGCTAATTTGTTTGTTTGGGTCTGTGTAAAGGTTCCCTGGCAGGAGAACATGCATATGACTTTAAAATAAAGACCGACACCCGACACTAAGGTAATGCACAGAGACGATACAGTACTGACATTGCAAATAAATACCCATAGTATGAGGCACCGCACCCGTGACAGTGTCTCTTACGGACAACACTGGGACAGAGGTCAAACAGGGCCCTAGACCTAGGAGTAAGAAATGCTCGTTCCAGGAAACAGAACTCTTTTACTCTCATCACCTATATTATTATAATTTGTCTTTTTTGGAGGAGGAAGGGCAGTGTTTCTTCCTCGGCAAGTACCAATCCGAGCGCTCCCACGAGCCTTACTCAGCAAGCAGAGCAGGAGCGGGCCTGGCTCACCGCGGAGCCTGAATGAGTTCTGTTTCCTGAAACGGACAGAGATCAGTTACACCAAGCAGAGAAGACAGCGCCTCGGTTCACACCGCGAAGGACACTGTGGCTAGCTCGTCCCTGCACGCTGCTGCGGCCCTTCCGACGGGGCGTGCAGACGGCTCGCTTAGCTTGCTCGATGATGTCCGTTTGGTTCATGAAGCTCACTCAAGGTTTTGTTTGCTTGTATTTTCTAAGCCCCTGAATTTGCAAATGAAGAATCACTGACTAACAGAATTTTGCACAATTGCTGCTTCCGTTCCCGCTGTGCGGATGCCCAGGCCCGGGGGAGGCGAGCAGCAGTTCCTGCTGCAGTCCACCCTGGCCTCCGGCAGCCCCACTAACTCCTCACGGGGGAGCCCAGGGACCGGCTAAGCTGCGACACCTCCCATGACGGTGAAGGCACTACTGGCAATGGTTACTAACAAAAAGGCGTTGAAACCGACACCCTAAAAATTGACGACTGTAGAATTTTCTAAGTGTACCACAATTTGGCACAACAACCAGAGTAACAAAACAATTCCAATTTGGAATTTCACTGGTACAGTTGTATAAAATTCTGTTAATCAGTCATGCTTCACAATGTCCTAAAACCCAGAACATTCTGGAATTTGTAGGTAATACTACTCATTTAATAATTTATCTTTTTTTTTTCAAGTGCCTATTACTGTTTTAACCAGAGCAAAGGTCAAGTTTTCTTCTTGTTACATTGAACTATTCCTAAGAATAATAATAATACAATATGAAAAACCCCAGAATCGGAATACCCTGGATTTCTTAATGAACACGGTGTTTACGCCCTGCGATCCCCAACACGGGCCTCGAGCCGCAGGACCTGCAGGGCAGTTGGGCCGCGGCGCAGACCAGGCGAAGCCCTCCTCTCCACAGCCTTGCCCCACACACTGCAGGGCACAGCTGTGCTCGAGCCGGCATCAGGTCAGCACGCAGGAACTCTGAGGACGGCGGCAGGACCTCCAGCACATACTGCAGTGTCTGGGACTGTCTACTTGAGGAATCAAGGAAGCGAATATAATACCAAAATATCAAAAGTGCACAGGTCGATCGGATAAAAAAGGAACACGTGGAATAAGGAGGGCCCGCGGTGGTGTTCCCAGGGGGCTCCTAGTGAGCCTGGCGGTGGCTGTGGAAGCAGGTTCTTCGGGCCCAGACAGAGGCCTTCCCAAGCAGCAGCTCGCAGCTTTCTCAACATTAAAGCTTTTTCTGCCTCCCATTAGAGACTCAGGGAATGCTACTTTGAAAAGAATTGCAGTGGCATATCCAAAAATATTTCTAAGTGGGCTGTTAGGTGGCCCTTCCTTCCTCCGTGTGGACCACGGCAGGGGAGGGGAGGGGGCTGCGGTGTGACAGGGCCGGGCGGCCGAGTCCTCCCGGCAGCTACTCTACAGCTGAAAACGGGAGAAAACAAGATAGTGTTAGAAACCGGTCGCTGCTGCTTCCTGTCCGCTGACAACCAAAGCTCTCCAGGCGCCGGGCGGCGTGAGTGTGTTAGTCGGCAGAGGAGGAATCTGCATGTGTTAGGGGCCGGTGGCTCCGAGCGCTCGCACGGCCCGTTAGTATGAGAAGCTGCGAGCCGGGCTTGGTGCAGACAGGGCAAAGCGGCGTGTGGGGGCATGCGGCCGCCACCTCTGAAGTCCCGCTCCTGGGG